ATACAAATAAGGTCAATGTACGTGTGCAGTATATCTACATGTACCTATACAATTAAGGTCTATGTAGGTGTGCAGTATATCTACATATACCTATACAATTAAGGTCTATGTAGGTGTGCAGTATATCTACATATACCTGTACAATTAATGTCCATGTAGGTGTGCAGTATATCTACATATACCTATACAAATAAGGTCAATGTACGTGTGCAGTATATCTACATATACCTGTACAATTAAGGTCAATGTAGGTGTGCAGTATATCCATATATACCTGTACAAATAAGGTCCATGTAGGTGTGCAGTATATCTACATATACCTGTACAAATAAGGTCCATGTACGTGTGCAGTATATCTACATATACCTGTACAATTAAGGTCAATGTAGGTGTGCAGTATATCCATATATACCTATACAAATAAGGTCCATGTAGGTGTGCAGTATATCTACATATACCTGTACAATTAAGGTCTATGTAGGTGTGCAGTATATCTACATATACCTGTACAATTAAGGTCTATGTAGGTGTGCAGTATATCTACATATACCTGAGTGTACAATTAAGGTCTATGTAGATGTGCAGTATATATACATATACCTATACAAATAAGGTCCATGTAGGTGTGCAGTATATATACATATACCTATACAAATAAGGTCCATGTAGGTGTGCAGTATATCCACATGTACCTTTACAAATAAGGTCCATGTAGGTGTGCAGTATATCCAAATATACTTGTACAATTAAGTATGCAGTATATACCCACCTATTGTCCATGCAAATATATACTTTGCTTGAAACAAAACAACACTGATCCATAGATACCATAAGCGGTATGCAATACTTGAGTTGAGAACAGCTGGATCAACTGCAAAAAAAGTTTTTCACTTGTACATTATCTTGAATGATAAAATAAATTCTGAAATGCTGAAAAGGAAAGTGCATCAGGTGATATCTACTCATCTTACAATTGCACTCTAAACTTATACTTGTAATTTTTTTATTTGAAGTTTATGACACTATAAACATGTATAAATTGATATAAATATTCATGATTTTGACAGATTTGAGAAGGAAATTTGAACAATCAGTCAAATCGGGAGCTTTAATGGCGTGCTGGAAGTTATTAAAAACTGAACTTTTATAATACCGGTACATACAATCCACACAAATTTAGTTACAAAGCCTGGAGTAAAAAGTGTAATGCTGTATTGAAAACTAGTTACTGTAGATATTTAGGGACATTAACAGTGATCTAAATAATTAGCTCCCTGAAACCTGAACACTTACCATTTCCTATGGGAAGGTAGTATGGTCCTATAGATAAAATTGTTGCAACAATACACACTGCAACACAGGTTTTTTTCACAACTACATTCTGAAAAACAAAACAAAATGCATAATGATAAAAACATTTGTTTCAATTACAACATATAACACATGACTGACCAATTCTACAACATATATCAAATGACTGACTACATAATTACAACATATATCATATGACTGACTACACTATTACAACATATATCAAATGACTGACTACACTATTACAACATATATCAAATGACTGACTACACTATTACAACATATATCAAATGACTGACTACACTATTACAACATACATCAAATGATTGACCACACTATTACAACATATATCAAATGACTGACTACACTATTACAACATACATCAAATGATTGACCACACTATTACAACATATATCAAATGACTGACTACACTATTACAGTATATATGAATTGACTGACTACACTATTATAACATAAATCAAATGACTGAATACACTATCACAACATATATCAATTGACTGAACAATTCTACAAAATATATCAAATGACTGACTACATAATTACAACATGTATCATATGACTGACTACACTATTACAACATATATCAATTGACTGACTACACTATTATAACATAAATCAAATGACTGAATACACTATCACAACATATATCAATTGACTGAACAATTCTACAAAATATATCAAATGACTGACTACATAATTACAACATGTA